GTTGCAGGCCGCGGTTGCCCGTGTCTGCGTGTCTGGCGCCCTTCGTCGGGGTTTAGCAGTACAGTGGGCGAGGACGTTCGACGCGGATAGCAGGTCCCTGCAACTAATAATATCATGCATAATAGCCGTTAACTGCATGTCGTATAACAGTAGCATAGTGGTAGAAATATTTGCGCTGTAAGTCACCCGCAATCAACATGCCGAAGGAAGTTGCTCGAATGACGTTATCAGGCAAATGACGAGTTTCTCAACAACATATGCTTGGTCGTTAACGTGACTTGAACAGCACCTCCTGGCTTATCGAAGATTGACTTTCTGCAGCAGAACAGCTTGTGAATGTTTCTTGTTCAAGTCAAGTCCCAGCTCAGAGCCACATACACTGCACTCCGATGTTGTTGAGAAAACGCGCAATGAAGGGACCATCAGATGAGCTCAGTAATCCCGATGACCGTATCGATGTCACTTATCGCCGGCCCACCGAAAACAGGTGCGGGTTTGGTGATGGGAATGACGTCAATCCTATCTTTCGGTGAGTGTTAAACGTGTCGACGTTTCGTGTTCAGGATGTTGCACGACATTTCCCGGTAGTCAGTTTAGTCATACCGCAATGATGTCGACAAAACACATCGCTGTTGTGTAAATTAATGCAAATCGACATCATTCAACGTATCTATGTGTAAATTAATGCACATCAGCCATATCACCGGCCAAAATATCATATCACAAAATATGTTCACCAAACCCTTCCACCATTTGACCAGGTCATTGAGGTCAGCCTGGGGAGGAAAAGCGGCCGGAGCCTCGGTACACAACAGTGTAGCTCAGAATCATCTGATCAGTGTAGCTCAGAATCATAGCTGATGTGCATTAATTTACACATAGATACGCAATGATGTCGACAAAACACATCGCTGCTGTTTATAATTTATTCTAGAAGCTAATATTTTCAACACGTGATTGCAGCTTGATAAGTGTTTCAGCAGCCATAGACACAATTGTTAAAGGCTGTGCGGTATAAATGTTTTGTCATTTGTGTCCGCAGACTCAATTAAGCAAAACTTATTCAAGCAAATTTTTCAAGCAACACTCCATTGAGGCACCATGATATCACCTCGAAATTCAATTAAAATGGAAAACTTAAAATTTTCAGCTTGCAAAAAGTTGATGGATGCCTATGAAGGTCGGGGCGGCACGGTATCCCAGCGACACGGGGCGGGCTATCACAATGACGGAGAGTGACGGACATCGATGCCGGAGGAGAAAACGGACAGCCATATTGGCAACAGCGCAGGTAGATACGTGGGGACGGTCACGCCGCCCCTCGTGCGATGAGGTTCGCACATTTTGAGTTTTTTCAAGTATTGGTTTGAGATCACAGACTCTGATGTTTGGGTGTGAGAGAGTCTGGGTGAGAGTCCAAGCCTCTTCGGATAGGGTCGGTGCCTTACTTCTCGGATGAGACGGCGTAGCTCGTCATTGGACCCACTCCAGCCGCTCCTGATCCAGCTTGCCGTGCGGACCCCAGGAGATGATGTTACACCCTCGAATTGTTGCGCCAGACGGGCATACCATGTTCCTGATACAGTGGCCGTTTGAAAACGTCATTGTTGGCAGATGGCAATCCTACGACTGCCAGCATCTGGTTGACCTTAGAAACCACCTCCGCCGTCTGCACGGGGAACATGAGCCCGCATGAGCCTCCACGAAAATTCTCCGGTATTTTTCAGTGGGCACGACTGCGATTTCTGTGCCGTTCAGGAAGTAGGTCATTCGCGGCTTGTGAGTGCTGATGTGCATTAATTTACACATAGATACGTTAAATAGGAGCAATCGTACTCCTTCCACCATTTGACCAGGTCATTGAGGTCAGCCTGGGGAGGAAAAGCGGCCGGAGCCTCGGTACACAACAATGTAGCTCAGAATCATCCGCGAATACATTGACCGCGCTTTGCACTTCTGATGAATCGTCGACGAAAACATTGAGCGGGTTTGGTCCCAGCACCAGTCCTTGAGGGATACCGCTGGCAACGTCGGTCCAGTCAGGCTTCGAGCCATAGATTCGCTGGGCCAGGGCCCAGTTGGCGCCCTGTCAGAACCAACCTGGCGTCGCGTCAGAGCCCAGCTTGCACCATTGTCGGGTCCATCATGTACCCTGCTCTGCTGCGCAGGTTTCTCTCTGGGCCTATCCCTGGCACGGACTTGTGCCCAGCTGGTAAGCAGCACCCCTACCAGATAGGGCCAGGCAGAGGCCCAGCTGAAGCCTGACGCTTGCCAAAGCCACACAGACATCCCAGGCAGGACCCAGGTGGAGCCCAGTGTCTTCCCAGGCTTCACCGATGCCCTGATATTTGCTCAACATGTGCCCACTTGGTGCCCAGCTAGACCGCGGGCAGACAGCCCGGCTATGGCCAGGTCGCGGTTCATCGGAAACATGCCGCGAGGGCCATCTGGGGCCGGTGCTGGCCATCCCGTTACTGTCCACCCAATCTACACAGTCTAGGGCCTGATAGGGTCGGGGGCTACGATTAAAATGCCCGCTAAGATAGGCTTCGCCTGTCTTTCACCCCCGGCAGGTACGACGGGCACCCCGGGCACGTCCTCCAGCCGAGCTCAACTAAGACCTTGTCTATGTTGCTCCAACTATTTATGGATGTAACGTGAGTTCCACTTACAAGGTGTGAACAAGCAAACACGCAGCATGGCAGCCCGGACCGACTGCCATCCCAACGCCGACCGTGGCGCCACTCGCAGTGCGCCATAAACTACAACCACAATGTCGAGGCTACGATTTACAACGCCCTCCGCCCCATACGTGGACTTCCCTACAGCCTTGAAACGCAGCGGAGGTCGGATGGTGCGCGCTGATCGGCGCGGCTGCGTCTCGTGACGCGGCGCGCTGGCCGTGTGGCGCCTGCCTCCGTCCGAAAGGGCGGCGCGGTGACGGCGCGCGGCTGCCCCGTCTGCTGGTACTCGGCGTCCGGCCCGTCAGGAGCTCGGTTCTGTTGAGCTGATTCCGGCTCCGTGGTTGGTCCTGGTCGTGACCATCGCCTCCTACCTGGCCGGTGTCGGTGGCTCTTCCTCCTCCTCTTCTCTCTCCCCGAGAGAGCTGTGAGCCTCCGGGATCTGATGCTGCTGCCGGCCGGGAGCAGGGTCAGTCGGATGCTGCTGCGACGGTTCCAGCGGAGCTGACTCGGCCGGCTGCTGCTCTTCCCGTATTGCTGTTGGCGGGAGCTGGTCCGCATGGCGGGCCCAGACGGCCTCGTCGACGTCTACTTGATGCGAGGCGGGGCCCGTGATGCCTACCACTTCGCCGCGCCGCCACCGTCGGGGGCCGCCATATGTCCGCGCCCACGCGGTCTGGCCTACCCTGGACTGGCACGACCTTCCTCCCGCCGCCTCCCTCTGGTCTTGCTGTTTCTCTTGTACATCTCGTGCGATGCTTGGGTGCGCGAGGTCGAGCCTGGTGCGCATCGGGCGCCCGAACATCACTTCCGCCGGCGTCCGGCCTGTCGTCGAGTGTGGCGCCGCGCGGTATGCCATCAGAAACGTGCACAGCTGGCGAGACAGCGAGCCCCCGCCCCTGTGGCGCCGCCTTCAGGCCGTTCTTAACGGTCTGGACCGCTCGTTCGGCAGCCCCATTGCTGCTCGGGTGGCATGGTGCTACTCTGACGTGTCGTTCACCGTTCCCACTCAAGAATTCCGCCAACTGCGACGCTGTGAACTGAGGTCCGTTATCGGAGACAAGCTGCCGTGGTATACCGAAACGAGCGAACATGGCTCGCAGCTCCCGGACCGTGCTCTCTGTGCCCGTGTCTCCCATCGGACACACCTCCAGCCATTTGCTGAAACTGTCATGTACCACGAGGAAGCTGGAGCCCTGAAACGGCCCGGCAAAATCCACATGGATTCGCTCCCTCGGGCCGTCAGCCGGCTCCCAGTTGTGCAGCGCGCTCCGTGGCGGGGCTCCTCGCTTTTCTACACATGCGGTACGATCCCGCGCCAGTGCCTCCAGTTCTGTGTCCATTCCCGGCCACCACACGTACCGGCGCGCCACTCCTTTCATCTTGGCGCTGCCGAGGTGTCCGGTGTGCAGCTCCTGCAGTATTCGCGACCGCAGCCTCTGGGGTATTACCGCTCTGCTTCCCCACAGTACCACGCCGTGGTCTGTGGACAGCTCCGCCTCCCGGTGTCGGAACGGCCCAAACTCCGGCTCCGTTTCTGTCAGCCATCCGTGTCCTATATACATAAGCATCTTCGCCAGCAGCGGGTCGCGCAGGGTGGCGTTTTCGATCTCGCGGGCTGTCAGCGGCGCTTCCGCGCCGTCCATGAACAATAAGTGGACTCCCGCCACCTCTCTGTCCGCCTCCGCCCGCTCGTTTCCGCTGCACGGCACCGCCATCCGCGATAGACTGTCCGCAGTGATCCGCCATCCCACGCAAGGCACCTCGCTCGCCCCGAGAGTGCATTTTGAGCGTTCTAGCCGGAGGCCGTGACGCTCCAGCCGAGTCAGGACCCGGTCCAGCCGTGTCACCAGCTCTGCCTCGTCTTCCGCTGCGATGAGAACGTGATCAATGTAGCACACGCAGCCCGGCAGTCCCTCCAGCACCTTGTCCATTGCCTGCAGGAACAGGAAGCCGCAGCTGGCGATGCCATACGGCATACGGATCGTCCGAAACGAGCCGCGGTGCGTTGTCACCGTGGTGAGGTCCCGTGATGTCTCGTCCAGCTCCATGTGCTCGTATGCCCGCCGGATATCCAGCTTTGCGAACACACGACCTCGTATGTTCGCGAATAGGTCCTCCGGCGCAGGCAGTGGGTACGGATGCACCAGGAGCTGTGGATTCACTGTCAGGCTGTAGTTTGCGCACAACCTGACCTGACCGTTGGGCTTCAGCACTGGGACCAGCGGGGTCCCCCAGCCTGACGGTCTCTGTTCTGGGTCAACCTTCTCTGCGGCTCCCTCCGTGATCCGGCGCTCTAATTCCTTGTCAATTAGAGGCATGAGGGCGTACGGCACAGGCCTGGCCTTCCTGTACACCGGACGCGCGTCAGGCTTCAGCGTGAGATGGGCCTTCATCGACATCTTCCCCAGTCCGTCGGTGAACACTGTCTCGTGCGCCTTGACGACCGACTCCAGCGTCGTCTTCGCGCCCGACTCCGGCGTGGTTCTCCCGTCAGCGTCCCCCGGCCGGCCGACCATGCTAACCGCTCGCCAGTTCAGTCGGAGCTGGCGCAGCCAGTCTCGTCCCAGCAGCGGCGCGCTCCCCTGTCGGTCACATATCACCAGTCGCAGTGACCGGGCCTGGCCTGCGTGTTCCACCTCCACCGTTGCCTCTCCGCGGAGGGGCATCGTCTGACCGGTGTAGGACTGCAGACGTAGCTCCAATGCCCGCATGCGCAGTCCCGGGATCTCCACATCTCTGCCGACGATTGTCACCAGCGAGCCGGTGTCGATCATCATCGTGATGTCCTGACCGTTGATCCTCACTGTGATGAGTGGCAGGCCATCCCTCTCACTCGGGATGTCGATTTGTAGGCGAATGTCCTCGAGGCGCTGTGACACACCTCCTTCAGTCTCAGTCACATGGTCCACTGTGCGGCGCTGTGGACAGCTGCGCTGTAGGTGGGCGTCCGACCCACACCGGAAACAGCGTCGGACGGGCGGGGGACGGCGGGTCTGTCCCTGCTGCCGCCGCTCGTCACGCCGTCCATTATCCCCGGACGATGGCCGGTCGGCGGCGCCTCGCTCCTGCACCCTGACCGGGCAGTCTCTCTTCCAATGCTGTCTGGATCCGCATCGGAAACACTGGCCTCGCTGTGGCCGTTGTGGCCGGTCAGGCCGCACTGCGTTCACGGCCGTCCCCTAACAGTCGACTCCTGTGACTGCCGGCTGACTCTCGCTCAGATAGGCGCTCAGCTGACGCATGTCTCGGTACGCCCGCGCTGTCTGCCGGACGTTCGCGCGTCAGCCCGTCTCCTTTGGTCGCCGCCTCCTGCAGTAGCTTTTCTCTCAGCCCGGGGCTGCTTCCGACGACACACCGGTCCCGGAGTTCCCTGTCCATCTCAGCCGCTGTATAGCCGCATTTCTGTGCTTGAATCCGGAGTCGCTCGAGGAACTGTTCGAATTCCTCACCCCCTCGCACATTCATTTGGTGGTATGCAGCCCGCTCAGTCACGGCGCTTTTGGCCAGCGACAGGTACGCCGTGAGCTTCTTAAGTTTTTCAAAGTTATCTCCCGTCGCGTCTTCGTCCGGCAGCGTCTCGCTGAGATCTGCGACGTTGGGCCCAACCAGATGGAGAAGCACTGCACACCTCTGATTGGCATCAGTTATGTTCACGGCCACCACATGCCGCTCCATGCTTCTCACCCACCTTTCAAAGTCCTCCCCTGTATAGTAGGGTGCCACCGTGGGCAGATGCATTCCCGGCAGCGTCATCCCTTCAGCTCTACCACGTCCCGATCAGCTGTTCCATCCGGCGCACTGATCTCAGCTGTTTTCCCACGGTCCGATCAGCTGTTCTGTCTCGCGCACGGCGCTCCGTCGTTTCCCACGCTCCGATCAGCTGGCTCGCGCCCGGCCGCCCAGCAGACTCCTCTCTGGCCGATCAGCTGATGCCGTGATGACTCGCGAGTCACGCCACCGCCGGCTATCACAGCGCCTCTGTCGGCGAGCTGCCGAACTGCGCTTCCGGAAGTCGTTGACCCGACGACGCAGCGCCTCTGCCGGGCCCCCGCTGAACTAACGCCCAAAATGGCGGCACGCCGCGACGGCGAAACCGCGTGCGTTCTGGGGCCTTTGTGGCAACTGATGCCCCTGAGCCTGTCCCAGGGCTATCGACCCCGTCACTGTCCTGCCCCTGACACACTGTGACAATAAATGGATGACACGACACTGCCCTGTCCCGTCGACCGAGTCAGAAAACTCCCGAAGCCCGCCGACTGATCACCTACGTTTTCCAACACTGCTGCCCTCGGCTCCACGCGCTCTGCCAATCCCCGCAGTTCCACACATCCTGCCAGTCCTCGGCTCCACGTGCCCCGCCAGTCCTCGCAGTCCCACACGTCCTGCCGGTCCTCAGCTCCACGTGCCCCTGCCAGTCCTCGCAGTCCCACACGTCCTGCCGTCCTCAGCTCCACGTGCCCTGCCAGTCCTCAGCTCCACGTGCCCTGCCAGTCCTCAGCTCCACGTGCCCTGCCAGTCCTCAGCTCCACGTGCCCTGCCAGTCCTCAGCTCCACGTGCCCCGCCAGTCCTCAGCTCCACGTGCCCTGCCAGTCCTCAGCTCCACGTGCCTGCCAGTCCTCAGCTCACGTGCCCTGCCGTCCTAGCTCCACGTGCCCTGTCAGTCCTCAGCTCCACGTGCCCTGCCAGTCCTCAGCCCCACGTGCCCTGCCAGTCCTCAGCTCCACGTGCCCTGCCAGTCCTCAGCTCTACGTGCCCTGCCAGTCCTCAGCTCCACGTGCCCTGCCAGTCCTCGCAGTCCCATACGTCCTGCCGATCCTCAGCTCCACGTGCCCTGCCAGTCCTCGCAGTCCCACACGTCCTGCCGGTCCGCGCGTCACTTGCACCCGTCCCTACTTTAAGATCCTTTTGCTCGTCGCCAAGATGTTGTGTCTCCCAACTGTTTATTGATGTTAAGGCGAGTTCCATTTACAAAGTGTGTGCAACCAAACACGCAGCATGGCGGCTCCGGGCCGACTGCCTCCCAGCGCCCGACAGTGGCGCCACTCGCGGTGCGCCCATGAACTACAACCATGATGTCGAGGCTACGATACAACAGTCTACATTTCAAATTAATTGTTTATCACATTAAAGCTGTTGAAATGAGCAGTGTTCACAGATGTCATAATGCTGCATCAAAATATGTTGGTAATAACAAAGCTTATCATAATGTTACGAGATGTCATTCCTGGAATAGTGTAGTGGATAAAGAAATATCATATCTTGCTGTCATTAAGCAGGGCACCTATTTACAAAATGTTTGATGTGCGTAATGAACACAAACATTTCACAAAATTGTAGGACTGTATC